GATGCTGCAGAACCCTTCATGCGTGAGTCCGACTCGCACTTGGCCGGTTTTATAACTTTAAAATGAAATAAAACATCAAAATAATGGTAATATCCAAAGTATTGGCATTATTGAAAAGATATTTGTATGCCATTATTAAATATAATTTTGGAGATATGGGCGTCGCTGTCCAATTTTTTACCACTTTTTCGAGCAGCTGATGCCGTATCGGCAACATCTCTCTAGTTTGTCGGTGTAGACTAGCGACACATATTTCCACACAAAATAATCCAAAGATCTTAGATCACATGATCTTGGATGCTAATTCTCAGGTCCATTACGAGAAATTATGCGCTGATCGAATGTTTCTTTCAATAAATTGATTGTGGTGTCCGCTGTGTGGCATGTTGTGCCGTCTTGTTGAAACCACAGCTCTTCCACATTAATGTCATGGGGAACGAAAAGTTAGTAATCGTGGATCTATAGCGTTCTCCATTGACTGTAATGTTCTGGCTAGCATCATTTTTGAAGAAAAATAGACTAGTTCCGCCCTAATAAAGCACACCAAACAGTGACTTTTTGTGGATGCAACGGCGTCTCAATATTTTCTTTACACTAATGCAACAATTTTGCGTGTTGAAGCAGCTATTCAACCCAAAATAAGCCTCATTACTGAATAAAATTTTGAACGTAGCGCACTGTAAGTTTTGTGAGAACCACGATTTTCGAAATAAATTTGCAGAATTTACAAACGTTGTTCTGGCGTGGGCCTTTGTTTCTTTCTATCTAAGTTGATTCAAAATATATTTAGCGATTGGCCAATTATTCATGAGATTCGCTGTATAACTTAAACAGGACAGATTGTCCTACGGAAATTAATTACTAATTTAGCGTTTACCTTACTTGTACATATATACCAGCAACCACAACACTGACACATTACGATCCATTGTGCTGTGCATGTAATATGTCTCTAATTGAGACTCATAATAAACCTGTGTTTCGTGTGAAAATTATAGCATCCTTTCTATTCATGCAGCTCTAATGTGCCTCCATTCAGTAACGGATAATTGCACTCAATGCATCATCTATACACTTCAGTGACGTTTATTTTAGGTAATATCCATGCTCCATTACTATCAATAGAAATGCGGGAATACAATTTGTGACATCAGCGTTTATATATCCCATAAAGCGATTCCTCTTCAATTACATATTGATGAATTGGCCAGATGATCTAATAAACTTAAGAGGAATGTTACACATATAGTACTGCATTTATGTAAAAATATGTATGAAATTGCAGAATTCCTTATTAAATGTTCTTATTGACTATCAAAATCTTTTATCTCACATCTGTTGTTTTACTTAGTCCTCTACTTTTTGGTCTATTTATTTCTGATATTGGTAATTATTTGCAACTAGATGTGCTAAAGGTGTTAATATCGACAATAAATATAATGGCAACTCTCTTGTTATATGCAGATTTAAAAATGGATGTTATAGAAATGTCAAATTAATATAGTGACTCTTAACTGTTAAGTAAAAATTTTTATCTATGCAAATGCAAACTTAAAAAATCCTTTTCTTCTAACAGAAGCGTGTAATAATTCTCAGAAAAAATTTAACCAGGCCTTACAAGAAATAAGCGCAATTTCTGTCTTGATATACAGTGAGTGGTCCTTGCACCATTCTTCTATAATTTTTAATGCTACTTGCATTCTTTCGCAGAATATGTTCTCAAAAATCCCTTTTTGCAAAATGACCAGATCATCTGCATACGCTTTTGTGTAGTGACTGTCATTATTGAGAAGGCTGATAAGGGTGTCGAGGACCATGTTCTACAGTAGAGATGATAACACCTCTTCCTGTGGACATTCCCTGCAACTAAGTCTCTTATACTCACAATTATGTTTACTGCTTGCTTTGAGAGTATGTTGTGTATCCCCCACTAACCATCTCTGGAACATTCCTGTTGTTTAGTAAGTGTATTATCTTGGGAAAAGTCGTCTTATCAAAAGCATCTTCTATTTCTATAAAAACACCCAAGGCGGACTCTTTATTGTCCAGTGATATCTCTATCCGGCCAGCAACTAGGTGAAGGGCCGAATCAGTAGATCTGCCTGAGGTGTATGCATGTTTTGTACCTTTTCGTATAGCGTTTCCAATGTATTCATGAAAAACGATGTCATGCTAATTGGTCGGTACGTTTTTGGGACAGTGTAATCCATCCTTCCAGGTTTGGGTATAAAAACTACCTTTATCTCTCACCATTTTTAAAGGATGTACCTCAGAACCAACGGGGATCTGAATATACCTACCAGGGTGGATAGATACCATCAGGTCCTGGTGATTTAAATGGAAAAAAGCTAGATGTTGTGCATCTAATTTTATCATGGTCTACAATGTGTTTGGCAAGTTATTGACAATAAAAATTTGATGCTATCATATATGTTTGCATTTTTCATGCCATATTCTTTGATAAGTGCACCAAATGCTGCTGTGAGGATCTCTTGATAACTTTTTGAAGCCTCGCTGCCTACTTAAGATCTCCATGAATTTCTGTTTTTGTCTAACGATTTTTATGTATTCTCTGACGTGAGATTTGTAAGTATCCCTGTCCTCTTTGAGTTTTGTAGTTCTTCCTCATTAAAAGATTTACAAGCCATATTTCTGAGGTGATCTAACTTGTGACACCACCATGAGGTAATCGTCTGATGGTGTTGGACCAGCCTCAGTGAGCAGCACTTATAGGTTGTTTATTGTGCTGTGGATAGTGTTCGAGTACTTTTCCAAAGTATTGTTATTGTTTAGTGTTGCGGCCTTCACCTCTCTCATGCCGTTTGGAGAAGGTAAGCATAGGTTGCCATGACCGTCTTCCTAGGGTTTTGAGATAACGTGGAGATCGACAACATCAAGTTTATTTTGAATGTTAACCAGCGGTGGTGTGACAATGAAATATCATTAGACACTTGCCAGTTTAGAATTGATTTATAGATACCAGTTGTGGATAAAGTGATATCTATTAGTGTTTGACTTCGAGAGTTTAGAAATATTGGTGTAGTACCTTTATTTAAAATACAAGGAATTTTGGTAATTATATATTGACTTGCCTCTAGTGTTGTTATCCTTACTGTCCCAACTAAAGTAATAAGCATTTGAGTCGCAGCTTATTACCAGCTCAAACTTCTGGTTCAGGCAGTATTTAATTAGATCGTCCAACTCTTTGATGGGTAGTGGCGTGGTTGCATCGGAGGGGAGATATGCAGATACCAAGATAAACGTTTTTTTTTTTCCTCTTGAATTATTCCATCCTAACCGCAGTTAAATCGTAGGTGGAAAGGTGTTCTATTTAGTGGGCTTTATATTTCCTGGGAATGTAAATGGCTATCCTAGATTGTTGGTTGCTGGGACCACTTAGATTTTTAGACCTACAATTTTGGTTTTTATTATCCAGAGTTCCTGGATGAGTGCTATTGTATCTTGCAGCTCATCAAGGCGACGGTATAATGTTGCTGTAGTCACCCTTTTGTGCTGCAAGTTACATTATATAATTTTTACCTCTTCAATTCCTTCCCGATCCCCCATTGAAGTTTGGGTAGCGTTTGAGGACAATGTTTGACCATCCTTTTTTTCCAAAAGGGGAGGGGGTGGTCTAGTGTGGCTCCTCAGAGTTGTAACCGATTGCTGTGTTTTCTTGACCTTGGTTGGGTCGTGTTCCTGGCCTCTTGTGGAGGCAGAACTAGCGTCGATACCCAAAGACTTGATTGGACTGCTTAGGTTGGGTTTGGAGTGAGGGCGTATCCTGCCGGTGACGGTTGCCGTAGCTCTGCCTTCCTTCAGTTGAGTATTCTTTCTTCTCTTTACTTCAGAACCTCTTGCCTCTCTGGTGCCCATCAGTTTGAGGTGAACTGTGATGCCCATCCTCGTATTTTTGAGGTGGCTGTCGCTGTCCAGTCTCCTGTGATGGAATTGAATTTTGCTTTCCAGTCTCCTTCGCTAGAGGTGAACGTTGTCGTCTAGCCCACTTTGCCGGAAATGATCGTTGACGTCCAGCCTCTTTTGCTGGAGGTGAAACTTAAAGTCCAACTTTCTTCGCTAGAGGGGAACGTTGACGTCCAGCCTAATTTGCTAGAGTAGCTAGGGAAAGAAGTGTCGCAGGTACCTATAGAGGAACGTTGGCTGCCGCTTTTACCCCTGCGACAATTCATATGTCTGCACGTTACCTTACACTTTAGATTGGTGAAGGTTGTTCGCGGCGGTAGCCTTTGCAAAAGATTTTGAGAGTTTTAAAGCTCTTTCACTACACTTAAGTCTAACACTAACCAGGAAAATCCTGGCCGTTCTCCTATCCACCACCCGGGGACGCGCTCAGTTTCCACTCAACCGCTGAGTAAGTAAACGTTACAATATAATTGTTTTATTTTATTTTAATTTTATAAAATTTTATTCGAATAATTATTATTAATTAGGTATATGATTAAGTTGTATTTCAATAACAGGTATGTTTTGTAATTCAGACCCTTGCTGTTATTAAAATCAATAAACTTATTTTTATATGCAATTTTTTTTAATGTGAAAATATAATTCCCAATTCCCCCTAAGAAATTAAGAAATGTATTCCCACACCTTCAAAGTATAAAAAAAAAAATGAAAAAGTTGAGAACTAAAGAAAAGAAAAAATGAGTATACCGGCCAGAGATCGAACCAGAACTTCCAAGCATATCTCTCGGTGATATTACAAATTAGACCACCGCATTAGGTCAAGTTATAATAGATTCACGTACTTTTTTTTGTTTATATATTTCAGTAAACACATCACGTTCATGGAGCAAAAACATAACATATTTTTAAAAAATATTCGCGTAATCCAAAATCCCCTTTCTTGTCATGATAATTTAATTTTCAAAGATGAAAGGGAATTTAGGATTCGAAGGGAGCGAGCGAACTTCCATCTGGATCCTCCTCTTGAACATATCTATTCAATGATTCATTAAGTCCGTTATTATTTATTGTTTTAGATTTATCCAACGGAATTAGAAGCTAGACCAGAATTTCACGAATTTAAAGAATGGTTGCATACATTTGAACTTTACAGAGGCAAAAAGACTGGCGAAGACTCTGAAGATGATAGCAGGGTTGTAGGATACTTTAAGGTAAACACAAAAGTAACGATTTTATTACATTTCTCTTTTGGTAGAACTGTATTTTCAGTAGATTTATAAAAAATAATATATATTAAATAGTAATTGATTTTCTTTAAATAGACATGTTGTTCCCGAGATATTCAGAAAGATGTTTCTCAAAAGAAACCTATTTTGTTCCAGAATTGTAGCGTTCCATTGAAAAAACATCGCAGACAATTCTCTTTGAAACAATTTATTCACTAATCTATATTGATTCTTTCTTTGTATTTTATTGCGTTCTATCCTTCTGTCTGTGTTACACTAACCCATCGAACTACGGTACATCCGAAAAATGCAAATTTTCTCTGTCGAATGATTTGGTGATCGCATGATATGAGACATGACTCACTAGTAAAAAGAACCTGTCTATCCTGTTATTACGAAATTTTATATTCAAATTTCGCTATTTCCGAAACATTGAAATTGTCAGAAAATTTCAAATTGTCTTTCTGGAAAGTGGTTTTTCATACATTTTCCGGCGGAATGAACTTTCTTTTTCGACAACTGACTTATAATATATTAGTCTAAGGGCCAGTTTTTTTCACCTCTGAGTAAAGTTGAAAGTAACTATTTGCTAATTTAACTATAGGGCTATTGTATGTTGATCTGTCAAGTAAACCTACATGTAACTTTACTCAGAGATGAAAAGATCGGCTCTTAAGCTTAATGTATAACGGCCGTAAGGTAACTTAAGAACTTAACGTAAGAAGTTGAAATATGAAATTTTCGTATACTTATTTATAAATGTTCGTAAGGTAACTTAAAAAATTAACGTGCCGTAGAAAGTTTCAACTTTTAACTTTAAGATAATTCTGAGTTCAATATGTGACAACTGTCTATTTTGCTTTTTATCTTTTTTAATAAATTAATGTTTATGTTATTGGTGATAAAATATTTATAAGATATGAGTGTGTCTACATGTCTAGAATTGAAACAAGACAAACCTATTTTGCTAGGAAAGCTTAATTATGATTATTGCTCAAAACCGAATCAACATTGTCGTCAACTATTCTGTTTTATTATATTTTATATTATTGCATATAAAGTAGTTAATTCTTTCTATCCAGGGTGGGCCACTTAAAAGTTCCACCCCCCTTATTTTCGTTATTCATTGAGATATCGGAATAATTGTTTTTTGTTTGAAAGTCTGGAATAAATACTTTCTTATGACGGATACAATTATTCTGTGACGTCATGGCTTACTTCCGGTTTTTCTGGAAATAACAGAAAGTCGCAATTTATTTTTTATTTTTAAATGGAAACCCACTTTTTTTATTGTAAATTTGGATTTCTGGGACATTTTTGTATAATAATCGTGTATTTAAAATTTTTGGCAGCTGTCAAAATGGCCGCCATATTGGATAATATTTTTTCTAAACAAGTTACTATTAATTCGTTTATGGAAAAAAATATAGGGATGTATCTTTAATCTTTGAATCTTTAAATTTTCATTGAGACCCATTTACCGTATACCAGTGGCGTATCTAAGCATTTTCATTAATAGCAAACCGTTTAATAATTCCATCCGCTTTTAACTTCGTTGTTAATTGAGATATCGGAATGAAAACTTTTTTTGTTTAAAATCTTATAACAAATACTTTCATATACTGGATCCAATCGGTCTGTGACGTCTTGGCTTACTTCCGATTTTTCCGGATATCGCAATTTATTTTTGATTTTAAAATCGAAATCCGTTTTTTATTGAAAAGTTGAGTTTTTGGGACATTTTTGGATAAGAAGCGTGTATTGAAATTTTTCTGTAAGCTGTCAAAATGACCGCCATATTGGATAATATTTTTTCTAAACATGTTACTATTAATTCGTTTATGGAAAAAAATATGGGATTGTATGATTTTTATAAAATCATAGTAAGCTTTAAAATTCCTATTGAGACCCACTTGCAGTACACCAGTGGCGTATCTAAGCATTTTCATTATTGGCAAACCGTTTTAACAATTCCATCCGCTTTTATCTTCGTTATTAATTGAGATGTTGGAACGAAAACTTTTTTGTTTAAAATCTTAAAACAATTTCTATCATTTACTTGATTTAATTGGTCGGTTACATCATGGATTACTTCCAGCTATCAAAATGACCGTCATATTGGAGAATACTTTTTTTTATATGTTGCTGTTAGTTCGTTTATGAAAAAAAATATGTGAATGTATAAAATCTTTGTAAGCTTCTTAGTTCCCATTAAGACCCATTTATAGTATACCAGTAGCGTATCTAAGATTTTTGTTATTTCTTAAGCGTATCTGTCATCGAATTAAATTTATACGTTTTCAGCGCTTATAACCACTACATCAGTCAACAACTGATAAATCAAATAGTTATTTATACATATAATAAGTGTATAAAGTGGCCTTCAAAAAAGGGCTTTACATACGAATTGCATACAATATGTCTACTACCGTACCAAGATTGGTTACTTTACTCATTAGTGCGTAAACTGTTTTACTTTACGCATAACGTGCGTACTTTACGCACAGTAGTAGAAAAATAAATTATTACGACACGCAACAGATCTTTAAATTTAAAAAAATGTTTATTTTTATTTTAAATTTTAAATTTTAAAGTAACTTAATATTATCAGAAAGCTTTAAAAAATTAATATGATAATACAAGACCTACCATACAATAATAAATTAACATTGATACGCTCAAGAAATTAAAATTTTCAATAAAAAAAGTGAGTTTTCATTTAAAAATAAATTGCGATTTACTGTTATTTTCGAAAAATCGGAAGAAGGTCATGACGTTACAGTTGATTGAAGTATTTGACAGTATTTATTCCAAGCTTTCAAACAAAAAAGTTTTTATTTCGATATCTCAATTAATAGGGAAGATAAGAGCGGGTGGAATTATTAAACGGTTTGGTAATAATAAAAATGGTGTACTGTGAGTGAGTCTCAATAAAAATTTTAAAGCTTACATTGATTTTATAAAGATCATACATTCCCATATTTTTTTAATAGTAACATGTTTAGAACAAATATTATCCAATATGGCGGCCATTTTGACAGCTGACAGAAAATTTTTAATATACGCTTTTTATCCAAAAATGTCAAATTTTGATTTTAAATTAAAAAATAAATGGCGATTTTCAGTTATATCCGGAAAAATCGGAAGTAAGCCATGACGTCACAGACTAATTGGATCCAGTATATGAAAGTATCTATTATAAGCTTTTAAACAAAAAAGTTTTTATTCCGATATCTTAATTAACAACGAAGATAAAAGAGGATGGAATTATTAAACGGTTTACTAATAATAAATATGCTTAAATACGCCATTGGTATACGGAAAATCGGTCTCAATGGGAATTTTGAAGCCCTCAAAGATTTTATAAAGATCATACATTCCTAATTTTTTTCCATAAACGAATTAATAGTAACATGTTTAGAAAAAATATTATCCAATATGGCGGCCATTTTGACAGCTGCCAGAAAAAATTCAACGATTATTATACAAAAATGTCCCCGAAATTCAAATTTACAATAAAAAAGTGGGTTTCAATTTAAAAATAAAAAATAAATTGCGATTTTCTGTTACTTCCGGAAAAACCGGAAGTAAGCCGTGACGTCACAGAATAATTGAATCCTTCATAAGAAAGTATTTGTTCCACTCTTTTAAACAAAATAAAAATTATTCCGATATCTCAATGAATAACGAGAATAAGGGAGGAGTGGAACTTTTAAGTGGCTCACCCTGTATAGCAAAATCATAATTTTTGGATTTTTATAGAGGTTAAGTACATAGTTTACACTTGTTTATTTCATTAGGTTGTTTATAATTTGACAATCTCTGAAATACAATACGCATGCTCAACTCATAGGTATGCAACAGACTTTTATATACCGGGTGTTCAACTTAAAGCGTTACAGCTATATACCGCTTTTTATAAAAAAAAAACGTTTCAGACGAAAGTTTTATAGTTTTGTGGGGAAAAACTTTTGGCTAAAATCGTTTTTTATAGCTAACCATAATATGGCCAACTTTTTTTTCGCGCAGCAACATTTTCAAGTAGCTGTTACTCAAAAAGTAAAAGTCCAATAAAAAAATATTTTCCTCAAAAGTTTCTTATTTTTTTATGTACTTTAAGAATATGTAAGAAAAAAATGGGATTCCCATTTAAAAAAACAAAGCCCACCTTGATATGGCCATATTATGGTCAGCTACAAAAAAATGAATTAAGCCAAAATGTTTCGCCCAAAAAACTATAAAACTTTTGTCTGAAACTTTTTTTTCTAAAATGCATATTTTCGGCGGTATTTGACTGTAACACTTTAATTTGAAGACCCGGTATAGAATTAATTTATATATTTTACTTTAAGTTTCTACGGTGTTAAGTTACGTTACAGGGGTTATAAATTATACTTAAGAGCTAGCGGTCATTTTGAATAACGTGTTGAACATAATGTTGAAAATTTGTAGATATTTAATTTAATACCAGTTAAATAAAGAAATAGTGGTCTGGAAGGGATACCGCGGTTAGAACACCTATATTTAAATTTTTGAAAATGATAAAAAAGTTGTTAAAATTAACGTGTTTTTACAAGTCTAAAACTTTCAGGAAATATTCTTTAAATTGTTTTAATAACATAATTACAACTGCCAGACCATTTTGGCGATTCCTAGTGCCGTGTTTACTCGTCTGATACAGGGTGGTCACTTAAATGTTTCACCCCCTCTTATTTTAGTTATTGAGATATCTAAATGATTTTTTTGTTTAAAAATTTGGAGTAAGAACTTTATTTAATTACTCTGTGACATCATGGTGTACTTACAATTTTTCCGGAAATAACAAAAAATGCAATTTATTTTTTATTTTTAAAAGAAGTCCCTAATTTTTTATTGAAAATTCGAATGTACTGAACATTTTTGGATAAGCTTTTATTGAAAATGTTCTCTAAGCTGTCAAAACGGCTGTCATATTGGATAACATTATTTCTAAATGAGTTACTAAT